GAGCAGAAGCGACAGCAGGACGAGTGGAGGCGACAGCAGACCTCACACATCCACTAAGGACCAGGCTGACCCGTGTGGCATCTGCAGAGTAAATGAGACTACTGACTCAGATTCTGGTAGAACTGCTGATCGCCCTTCCAGGACTCGGACTGGGACTAGTACCCCAAAGATTGGGACTAAGCTACAAAGATGGGGTTTGGTATTGTTCTATGTTTCATATGCAAGTGCATTATGGATATCCTGCTCTTGGACCAGAGTTTTGCAATTGTGATTAATAATGAGAACCCACATCTGCCATATAAACTTACATGGGAAATAATGAACTTAGAAACCCATGAGGTATACAATAGCACCTCAAGGGCAGAGCCACTAAACACCTGGTGGCCAGATTTATATTTCAACTTAGAAAAAGGCAGTCCCCTAGAGAAGCCAGCACAGACAGTAGCGATATCCTCGGGAGGCCCCGCTGCTGCCCCAATCCCCAGTTCTTGGGTAACTGGACCGTGGAGGGAAGACGTGGAACGGACCTCTATGAGCCGGAATGGGTTTTACGCCTGTCCGGGATTCCGGCCCCCTCAGGAAAACCGTCAGTGTGGGGGTATTGGAGGTTATTATTGTGCCAAATGGTGGTGTGTGACCACAAATGACGGGGAGTGGAAATGGCAGGTACAACCTCTTTTCATTAAAATGTCCTACGTCCAACCTTGTACTAGAAACAGGTATGCCAGGCCGGGCGCGGTGGCTCACGCCTGTAATCCTAGCACTCTGGGAGGCCGAGGCGGGCGGATTGCTCGAGGTCAGGAATTCAAAACCAGCCTGAGCAAGAGCGAGACCCTGTCTCTACTATAAATAGAAAGGAATTAATTGGCCAACTGATATATATATATATAATTAGCCGGGCATGGTGGCACATGCCTGTAGTCCCAGCTACTTTCGGGAGGCTGAGGCAGGAGGATCGCTTGAGCCCAGGAGTTTGAGGTTGCTGTGAGCTAGGCTGACGCCACGGCACTCACTCTAGCCTGGGCAACAAGCAAGATTCTGTCTCAAAAAAAAAAAAAAAGAAAGCTTATCACTCTTTGTGAGGGTGAGTGGCCTAAGTTTGGGGTGGGATGGCCCAAGGAGGGCTCTTTTGATGCCTCCCTCATCGAAAAGGTAAAAGGGGTGGTGTTTGGCCGCCACGGCCATCCCGATCAAATTCCTTACATTGTGGTCTGGCAGGGTTTGGTCCAGGACCCCCCACCCTCATTAAAGATCCTCCTGCCTGCCCCTAAGGAAAAAGCTAAGATTTTGGCTGCTAAAGGGGTGAAGAAGGGCACAATGCAGCACTCACGGCCCGCAGGGCCGCCCTCTGCTGGCACCTCCCCTGTGTTGCCGGACTCAAATCTGTACCCAGAGTTGGAGTGGAATGCACCCCCGCCCTATAATTTCTCCGGGGTGGTGCTCGATCCCACCCCCTTGGTGTCGGCCACGGAACCGAGCACTTGCCCCTCCCGGCGCCCCTCCCTACGGAACCTGTGCACTTGCCCCTCCCGGAGCCCCTCCCCACGGAGCCTGCGCACTTGCTCCTCCCGGCGCCCCTCCCAGAGGTGCTCGACCCCGCCTCCCTGGTGGTGGTGGTGCCCGCGCCTGCGGCGCCTATAGCCACTATGGAACCGCTGACGGGGGACGGCTTATGGAACTAGGCAGAGGACTGGATGGGCTCCAGATCTGGAGCCCGTGAGGGCGCTCCCCCTAAGAGTGGCGGGACCCCCTGGAGCAGATGGGGAACAACATACCAGTACTGGCCCTTCTCCACCAGTGACCTCTATAATTGGAAATCCCAAAATGCAAATTTTTCTGAAAATCCAAGGGATTTAATTAACCTTTTAGAGTCAGTCCTTTTTACACACCAGCCCACTTGGGATGATTGCCAACAGTTGCTCAAGGTACTTTTTACAACTGAAGAGAGAGAGAGAATCCAAGTGGAAGCACAGAAGCTGGCTCCAGGAGAGGACGGCAGACCTAACATAAACCCCCAAGTTGTCGACCAGACCTTTCCTCTTGAACGGCCGCCCTGGGGCCCTGGGATTATAATGAGGCTGAAGGTAGGGCATGTCTCTGGGTCTACCGCCAGACTTTGATGGCCGGTCTCCGAGCAGCAGCACGGAAGCTGACCAATTTGGCTAAGATAGGAGATGTCTGTCAGGGGCCTGAGGAAAGTCCAGCAGCTTACCTAGAAAGAATTATGGAAGCCTTTCGGCAGTACACTCCTATAGATCCCACCGTAGAAGAGAGTAAAGCGGCCGTCACGATGGCCTTTGTAAATCAGGCAGCCCCAGACATTAGGTGAAAGGTGCAAAGGATAGATAGGCTGTGTGAGAAAACTCTACAGGACTTGCTAGAGGTGGCAGAAAAAGTATACAATAACAGGGAAATGCCCGAAGAGAAGTTAGAGAGACCAAGATTGGAAGATAGAAAGTTTCAAGCAGGCAAGGCACGCAGGGCGAACAATTAATGGCCAAGATCCTACTCGCAGCTATGGGAGGAGGTCACCTAGGGTCAAGAGGCCAGGAGCGACCCAGGAGAGAGAGGCTAGGCAAGGATCAGTGCGCCAATTGCAAGGAGCATGGACACACTGGGCTAGGAAATGCTCCAAGAGAAAGGGGGGAGATAGAACTGAATCCTCCGAGAAGGTTATGGTGGTGGGGCAAATAGAGATGAATAGGAGGGATGGGGTTCGGTTCCCCTCCCCAAGCCCAGGGTAACTTTACTAGTGGAGGGGAGCCCAGTCAATTTCCTGGTAAACACAGGGGCAGAACATTCGGGGATTACTGAAACCATGGGAAAACTGTCTAATAAGACTAGCTGGGTGCAGGGGGAAACTGGAACCAAGCCCTACCAATGGACTACACAGAGAAAGTTGGACTTAAGTTTGGGACAAGTGAGTCACGCCTTAATGGTCATTCCAGAGTGCCCCACCCCATTATTAGGGAGAGACATACTCACAAAATTAAGAGCCCGTATTTACCTTGATGAAGAAGGAATAATAATAACTGATGATAAAGGCAACCTTATTAGCATCCCCCGGGTCACTCAAATCTTGACCTTGGCACAGGAGGATGAGTATAGACTATACCAGCCCGTGAGGAGCCAGGAAAAGGACATAGAGCACTGGCTCCGTGAATTTCCCAAAGCCTGGGCTGAAACAGGGGGTGCAGGATGGGCAAAGCATCGGCCACCTCTATACATTGAGTTAAAACCAGGGACTGAGCCAGCCCGAGTTAGACAGTCCCCCATGCCCCAGGAGGCTAGAGTGGGAAGGACGCCCCACATTCGAAGGCTCCTAGACGCCGGGATTCTCCGGAGGTGCCAGTCAGCCTGGAATACTCCTTTGTTGCCAGTGAAGAAACCGGGTGGAAAGGATTATCGGCCTGTGCAGGACCTCAGGGAGGTCAACACGCGTGTCCTAGACATCCACCCTACGGTTCCAAACCCCTACACCCTACTAAGCTCCCTTCCTCCAACGCAGATTTGGTACACTGTCCTAGATTTAAAGGATGCCTTTTTCAGCCTAGCCGTGGCCCCGCACAGCCAAGAAATATTTGCTTTTGAGTGGCAGGACGAAGAGAGAGGGATCCAGGGGCAGCTGACTTGGACAAGACTTCCCCAGGGGTTTAAGAACTCTCCTACTTTGTTCAACCGGGCCCTTCACGAAGACCTGGGTGAGTACCGTGCCAACCACCCAGAGGTGACCCTGCTGCAGTATGTAGATGATTTACTATAGCTTCTCCGACCCTTCAGACCTGTCCAGAGAGCACCAAAGACTTACTCAAAGTGCTAGGGGAAATGGGCTACAGGGCTAGTGCCAAGAAGGCCCAGATTTGCAAGGATGAAGTCACCTATTTAGGATATAAAATTAAGGGAGGCTAACGGTGGCTAACAGAAGCAATGAAACAGACTGTGCTTGGAATACCCACCCCGACCTCATGTCGGAAAGTGCGGAAATTCCTGGGGTCAGTGGGATACTGCCGCCTCTGGATTCCGGGGTTCGCAGAGAAGGCTCGACCCTTGTATGAAGGGTGCAAGGCAGGACAAACGTAGAAATGGACAGTGCAGATGGAGGGTGCCTTTCGAGCCTTGGAAACAGCTATGTTAAAGGCTCCGGCTCTGCCGCTTCCTGATCCCACAAAAGAGTTCCACCTGTTTGTAGACGAGAAGAAGGGAATAGCCAAGGGAGTGCTCACGCAGGCGCTAGGACCTTGGAGGCGCCCAGTGGCGCACCTGTCAAAAAAACTAGACCCGGTAGCAGCGATGGCCGGCTTGCCTGCGAATCATCGCGGCTGCTGCCTGACTGGTCAAAGACGCCGATAAGCTCACCCTGGGTCAGCATTTGAAGCTGACCACCCCTCACGCCACAGAGGGGATCCTGAAGCAGCCGCCAGGACGACGGATTACAAATGCGAGGCTGACTCACTGCCAGGGGCTTCTGTTGGACACTCCTCGCTCTGAGTTCCGGACTCCTGCCATCCTGAACCCGGCCATGCTCCTGCCGGATCCCGAGCCAGAAACACCTGAGCATAGTTGCCTCCAGATCCTGGCGAGACCCAGATGGTCAGGAAAGACCTAAAAGACCGCCCTCTTCCAAACAGCGACCTGACCTGGTTCACCGATGGGAGCAGCTTTGTCCGGGACGGACACAGGTATGCAGGGGCGGCTATAGTGAATGAGCGGGGTAATCTTATCTGGGCATCACGCCTCCCGCAGGGGACATCAGCCCAGAAGGCGGAACTGGTGGCATTGACGGAAGCCCTCCGCAGGGCCCAAGGAAAGAGGCTGACGGTATACACCGACAGTCGCTATGCCTTTGGGACAGTACACATACATGGGGCTCTCTATAAAGAGAGAGGTTTCATCACGGCAGAGGGCAGAGAAATCAAACATAAGCCTGAAATACTTCAGCTGCTAGAAGCCATTTTGTTGCCAAAAGCAGTGGCAGTAATCCACATTCCGGGACCCCAGAAGGGGGATTCTTTTGAAGCCTGGGGCAACTGGGCTGTAGACACTGAGGCAAAAAGGGCTGCAGAGGAACCAGCACTAACAGATGTTCTATATTTGAGCTTGCCACCTCCTGGGATGGGAAAGATGCTCCCCCCCCAACCGGATTATTCCAGCACAGATATAACCTGGGCCAAAGAAAAACTGCAGGCAACGCAGAGTAAGGACGGTTGGCTCCAAGATGGAGAGCACCGCCTAGTAGTTCCTGAAGCCTTGGGGAGCCACCTACTAGGACACTTGCACCAGACGACGTATCTGGGGAAAAGGAAGATGCTACAGTTGCTGGACACTGCACAAATCAGATTCAAATCACAAGGAAAGATAGCAGAAGACATTGTCCGGAACTGCCGTGTCTGCCAGGTCATGCAGCCGGGAGGATCAGAGGGACCCATGCAGGTACCAGGAAGTGGCGAAGGCAACCAGGATTATTTTGGGAAATAGACTTTACAGAGGTAAAACCCGGAAAATATGGGTACAGGTATTTGTTGGTCATGGTAGACACCTTCTCAGGGTGGGTGGAAGCTTTTCCTATTAAAGGAGAGACTGCCTTAATAGTAGCAAAAAAAATATTGGAGGAAATAATTCCCAGGTACGGGCTGCCGCAGAGCATAGCATCTGACAATGGGCCAGCCTTCACAAGTCAGGTCAGTCAAGGGCTGGCCCGGGCACTGGGGGCAGATTGGAAGTTACATTGTGCATATAATCCCCAGAGCTCAGGGCAGGTAGAAAGAATGAACAGAACCCTAAAGGAGACCTTAACTAAATTGGTCCTAGAGACTTGCGGGGACTGAGTGACCCTCCTTCCCTTCACCCTGTTCCGAGCCCGGAACACCCCTTACCATTTGGGCCTAACCCCCTTTGAGATTGTGTATGGTACCCCTCCGCCTGTAACCCCCAGGGTGAGCCCCGAGGCTCTCCCGGAACACCCTAGAGAGGTGCTGCAAGCCGTACAAGCTCTGCAATGTGTTCACAGCCAAGTGTGGCCGGCCCTCCAGGCCATCTACCAGACAGCTGGGCCAGGGAGCGAGAGTATTAAACACTTGTATCACCATCACCAGCCAGGGGATTGGGTGTGGGTGAAAACAGCATAACAGTAAAACCCTAGAGCCTAAATGGAAAGGACCCTTTCAAATTATTCTTGTTACCCCCACTGCTCTTAAGGTTGACGGGGTAGCAACCTGGATCCACCACTCCCACGTGAGACCGGCTGGTGAGGACGAGCAGAAGCGACAGCAGGACGAGTGGAGGCGACAGCAGACCTCACACATCCACTAAGGACCAGGCTGACCCGTGTGGCATCTGCAGAGTAAATGAGACTACTGACTCAGATTCTGGTAGAACTGCTGATCGCCCTTCCAGGACTCGGACTGGGACTAGTACCCCAAAGATTGGGACTAAGCTACAAAGATGGGGTTTGGTATTGTTCTATGTTTCATATGCAAGTGCATTATGGATATCCTGCTCTTGGACCAGAGTTTTGCAATTGTGATTAATAATGAGAACCCACATCTGCCATATAAACTTACATGGGAAATAATGAACTTAGAAACCCATGAGGTATACAATAGCACCTCAAGGGCAGAGCCACTAAACACCTGGTGGCCAGATTTATATTTCAACTTAGAAAAAGGCAGTCCCCTAGAGAAGCCAGCACAGACAGTAGCGATATCCTCGGGAGGCCCCGCTGCTGCCCCAATCCCCAGTTCTTGGGTAACTGGACCGTGGAGGGAAGACGTGGAACGGACCTCTATGAGCCGGAATGGGTTTTACGCCTGTCCGGGATTCCGGCCCCCTCAGGAAAACCGTCAGTGTGGGGGTATTGGAGGTTATTATTGTGCCAAATGGTGGTGTGTGACCACAAATGACGGGGAGTGGAAATGGCAGGTACAACCTCTTTTCATTAAAATGTCCTACGTCCAACCTTGTACTAGAAACAGGTATGCCAGGCCGGGCGCGGTGGCTCACGCCTGTAATCCTAGCACTCTGGGAGGCCGAGGCGGGCGGATTGCTCGAGGTCAGGAATTCAAAACCAGCCTGAGCAAGAGCGAGACCCTGTCTCTACTATAAATAGAAAGGAATTAATTGGCCAACTGATATATATATATATAATTAGCCGGGCATGGTGGCACATGCCTGTAGTCCCAGCTACTTTCGGGAGGCTGAGGCAGGAGGATCGCTTGAGCCCAGGAGTTTGAGGTTGCTGTGAGCTAGGCTGACGCCACGGCACTCACTCTAGCTTGGGCAACAAAGTGAGACTCTGTCTCAAAAAAAAAAGGAACAGGTATGCCAGAGACTGTAACCTGATACGGGTAAAATTTACAGAAGAGGGAAAGAAAGCTAAAAGGTGGATGTCAGGGCTGTCCTGGGGAATATGCCTCTATCCAAGGCCATATCTCTGCTCCATAATACAAATCAAACTCAAAGTGGCTGCTATCACAGGTGCTGTAGGGCCTAACCCAGAGGTACAGGTAAAAAGGAAAAAGCAGAACAGACCAACTCCGCAACCAACAGTCTCCTCTCCACAACTCGCCGGGGCAGGAACTGTAAGTCAGGTCACCCCTAGAGGTCAGAACACCCAGAAGGGACAGAGGACTCCCTATGGAACATGCTGACAGCGGCACATGAGACTTTAAACCACACTGAACCAGCCCTCACCGAGGCGTGCTGGTTATGTTATGACATCAGATCTCCTTCTATGAAGCAGTGGGAGTAGCTACCCCCTTTAGCCAGTCAGGAGAAGAAATTCCCAAGTCTTGTAAATGGGACCACAAGAGACCGAGGCTGACCCTTCCGACAGTCACCGGAAATGGAACCTGCATAGGAAAGGTGCCCGCTAGCCACACGCAGTTTAGTGCCGAGGTTCACCCTACCATAGACCGGACCAGTGGAATAAAATGGCTGGTCCCAGCACTCAGCGGGTTGTGGGTCTGTTCAAAGACAGGCCTAACCCCCTGCCTGAGCCTATCAGTCTTCAACGAGTCTGGAGAATACTGCATTATGGTACTAGTGTTCCCTAAGGTCATCTATCATCAAGAATACACCATCTATGCTGCTTGGACCAGAGGAGGAAAGGACTCCAACTTAATTATTAAAAAAGAGGGAGCCTTTCACAGCAATAACCTTGGCCACTCTTTTTGGCCTGGGGGCAATAGGAGCAGGGACAGGCATCTCATCCTTGGCAGTGCAGCATCGGGGGTTCAATAGCTTAAGGGTCGCCGTAGACGAAGACATAGCCAGAATTGAGGAGTCCATCTCCCAATTATAAAAATCCCTAACTTCGTTGTCAGAAGTAGTGCTGCAGAACCGGAGGGGGCTGGATTTAGTATTCCCCCACCAGGGGGGCCATGTGCGGCCCTAGGAGAAGAGTGCTTCTTCTATGCAGACCACACTGGGGTAGTCAGAGAGTCCATGGCAAAGGTCAGGGAGGGACTTGCCCGACGAAAACGAGAGCACGAGCAACAACAAGGATGGTTTGAGTCGTGGTTCAACAGTTCCCCGTGGTTAACTACCCTGCTATCTACCTTGTTGGGACCTATAATAGTGCTCATGCTCATCCTCACCTTTGGGCCATGTATTCTGAACAGGTTAGTCACTTTCATAAGGAACGAATAAATACTGTGCAGTTAATGGTACTGCAGCAGCAATACCAAAGGGTGAGTCTTAAAGAAAACAGCTTAGCAATAGAAGAGATACAAGACCCTGGATACGAGCAAGAATGCTCATAAGAACCAAGAGAAAGGGGGGAATGTAAGATACTGGGCTATAAGGACAATGGACACCTTCCAGCTTCTGTTTACTGCTTGTTTGCTAACCGCAAGGCATTATGAGTACATTATGGGATGCAGAGGAAAAAGACAAAGAACTCAGAAACCTGAGTCTCACAGCTAGGACTCGGAACAGGTTGGAGCCTATCAGGGGCATGATGAGGTAAGAATCACTGTGGGGCGGATGCATGACCAGGTGTGTAAACAACTGAGTTATAAAAGGGGACTAACACACAAAGGAGGGTCCCTGCCCAGAGAAGAGGCCACTGCGCTGGCACTCTGGGGGCTCGGACCCTAGCTCAAGCTAGACAATAAAACTCCTTTTGATAATTACAGCCTTGGTGACTCTGTCTCTCTGTCCTGTGGCCTTGTGAATCTCGAATATAACATAGGGACTTTTGGCGGAAAGAGCTGGGTTTTTTCCACTGTGGACTTTGTCTGTTCTTGAGACAAGGGAGGGACTGCTGGTGTCTGTAGATTCCAGGGGGAGGGGCTGGTGGTGCCTGGCAGTTGTTTTTGGTGGGTCTGGTCAGTGAGCCTGTTCTTTTTTCTCTAGGGAGGGGAGGAGGTACCACCCGCCACCAGCCTTACAGGAAGTACAATGAACATGATAATGGGAGAATCAGGTTATAAAAAGCCATGTGGTTTTCAGAACAAAGCAAATGATAATTTGGTTCCACTCATTTTACTCAGAACCACATATGGACTTTTATTTTCCATTTTGGGCACTAAGGACATAGTTAAACTGAAGAGCATCCAGAATTTTTAGAAGAACAAGAGACGATTCAAAGCATATGATGGATACAATATGTAAGATGGTTGAAGGAAGTGGAATTATTTGTCCTGGGAGAATATGATAACTGTCAAGAACTGTGAACATTCTTAGATTTCACCCCACTTGCAAGCTAACAACTTTGCCACAGTTTCATGGATTCTAGCAGAAGACATAAGATTTATGGGTCAGAGACATAGGACAGTTTATTATTTTCAGCAATCTTGTGCCAGTTCCTTAAGACCCAATTTCCATAGGGCAACACACACGAAAATCCTGCACACATAGTGGATTGCATTACCGGAGGGGAACTCTGACCTTAGGAAATCGTAGTCTTTTATTATGCGCTGCAAGCAAACCTGCCCAGCCATTTTCCTAGGGCAAGGAAGATTACTATCTCTAAACAAGCATCTTTTAAGAAAACAAAATGTTGTCAGGGCACCTGCTGGAAAGACATGTGAAATATAGGAGAGACCCACAGAGAATTGGCTTTCAACAATAAAATGCATCTTGTGAGTTGTCATGTTAACAAGAATTAGAAATTTCTGTCACTCCAGAAGATAAAACAAAGTTCAAGTGGTGAAGATTACAGAATGACAAATTTCTGGCAAATATGGAGATATATTTTATGAAAAACAAAACAAGTTCCAAATGGGATGGACACTTTAAGAAGTTAGACGTGCAGCCATTTGTTGTTGACTATTGAGAAAAATATTCATATACAAGAGAAGTACTGAATTGAATGGTCCATTCAGTGTCTTCCAACACTCTGATTATCAGAAAATAGAGTCAGTGAAAAAATTTAAATAACTAGGGAAAAAAGCAGAGCAGAAAAGAATAAATTGTACTCTCAAACTTGAAATACTTTACTGTACATTTTCTGAAGTTCTATCTATGTCCCACGAGGATCCAGACATGTCTTTGATAAACCAGACAGGGCAGCCTTCATGCACTCAATGTAGCAATCTCCCTTGTCGCGCCTCTTCAGCTAAGGAAAACAGCTCAAAATCTGTTTGGAAATAAAGAAACTTTGAAGCCTTATCCTAGATTGATTATATTGAGTTTTAAGAAACAGAATCTTTGCTAAGGAATTCTCTACAATCTAATAGAAAATACTTCCTGTTACCAAGACACTTAAACTGAAGTGTCAGAATATTTTCAAAGATGATATATCATCCATAGGGCTTTTGTTTTGTTTTGTTTTGTTACAAACAAAACCTGTCTGCACCCCTCCCTGCAAAAAGAGACTATTTTTGATCATTATAACTTTCATGTCAATTGGCAAATGGATATTTTTACGCATGGGTTTATTAACTGGTCATTCTGTTGGAATTCATCTGCACACCACGCATGCAAGATGATCTAGCTGTGCCCGCGGTGGAGAGGCGGCTGTGGCCAAGCCTTATGACCTCTTCGCTTCTCTGTTTCTTTCTGTGTAAAACGAGGGGTGGAAACAGATGGCAGCAATGTTTCTTTCCAGCTTTTCAAACTCCAAAGAACCCAGGAAGAGCCACTACTTTCTTAAAAGCTGGCAGAAGCTTGGTGCTGCTAATAGGGTTGATGAGAATAATGGTGGAGACCTCTTTTGAAAGATGGCTGAAAGGAATCTCTCTCACTCTAAAGCAAAGGAGTACAGAAGCATCGGTCAGGATGCTGGGAAAGGCTGCAGGACGGAGGAGTCTAAGAGGATCTTGTGGTGCTTTGGGACAAGACACGAGTATAGTTCTTAGCCAGAAACTGGAGAGAAATTTCTTTTCTACCAAATAGAGCAGGTAACCCTATTCTTAAAAAAATGAACTTGGAAAAGACCACAGGCTGGCTAACGTGTGGGCTCTGGCTCATCTGGCCAGCATGCTGCAGGATGGCGGGGCAGCCTTTGCAGAGTAGACAGCTGTCTGGAAATAATCCATGTATCTTGTTTAGAAATAAGAGATACAAACAAAGCTTAGAGGGTTCTTCTGTTCTGTCTCAAAACAAGGGAATAATATTTTCTCACATGGGCCAGTTTGATCCAGTATTGCATATGCACATGTAGAGATTTGGGTAATTTTTCTGGAGATCATGGCTTTACTCTACAGCTTTTTGATTAATCAATAAATGAAACATCCATCTTACATAATTCACACATCTTATATCTCATAAATCACATCTCAGATTTTATTCAGTGCTTTTGAGCTTAGAATGTTCATTGAAAATAATTATTTCAATATGTTTTTTCTAAGCTTTTGAGCTTAGAATGTTTATTGAAAATAATTGTTTCAATATGTTTTACATGTCAACTCTAAAAGTTGACATTTTGAAATTACAAGATTTTTTAAAAAACTAATTTATAGTGAACAAGTGAAATTTCTCATCACACCAAATGTATCAATGTCCTTATAATTTGAAACTTCAGCATTTCAGTAAAACTTTGTACAATGAATCCAATAAAAAAGAACTTGAATACATAGCTTTCTGTGTAAATAAATGTCTGCTCTATCTAGCTTTTGCCTGCTAACACTGTTGTTTGTTTTGCCTCAGCCTTAACCCTTAAAAATAGCAAAGGAGCTGTCTGTCTTGGAATGTTTACTAACTTACCAGCAGGAGTCGAGTGAGTCTTCTTCACCCCCCATGCTAAACATGCTCTATCCAGTATTCAAGATAGTTTTTAAATGTCTCTTGGAGAGAGAGATGTTGATCTAGAACCTGAGGTCCCTTGGGGGTATAAACTGTGGGGCTGTGATTCAGAGCTCGGACTAGGAATGAGGCTGCCACATCTTTCTATTCTAGAGAATGACCTTGAGAAAGTCTTTTTTTTTCCCATCCTGGGATGCAGATATACACGGTAAAGGCCAGCTGCACTCGTTATAAATATCTTCTGAGATAGGCAAAGTGCTGCACTGTAGCTCCTGTAGCAGAAAGCCAGGACAGAGAGGACTTCTGTGCCCTTTTGGAGAGCCTGCTATTCACCCCAGGAGCCGAGAGCAATTAAAACAGAGAGCCAGCCCTCTCGCCAGGGGATCAGTTTACTGTGAGGAGCCCAGAGCTTTCTATCGCTTGTTAGGGCACTCTTGCTCTGGACAAGGGGGGGAGCCCCAGGGAGGGCGGTTGAACAGGAGCAGTAATCTGAGAAGGAGGAACAAAAATAGAGTGGGGGACACAGGGAGGAGGGAGGCAGCGCTTTGGGCGACGCCCGCTCGGGGCGTGCTGGGCGAAGCTGCTCCCAGCGTTGGCCTGAGAAGACCACAGAAGCTGGACTGGCGCGGCCTCCTCACACCATTTTCTTTCTCCTGGGTCTACAGTGATCCCCCACGCGAGTCTTCTGCTGAGGACCTCCAGTGTCCCGCTCCAGCTGTGTTCTCCAGCCAGGCTGCCCCTAAGCAGAACCCGTGCCCGCACCCCTGCGCCCTATTCTGTGGCTTTCTGTCCTCCTTTCCTTTGCACGTATCTGCAAACCTCCATCCTCTTAGGTCGACATCTAATTTATTTTATAATAAAAGCTTACATTACATAAAGCTTTATACCAGCACTTAGACATGCACAGTCACACTCCAGCCATTGTCCCCTGGGACATGTCCTTCACGGTTTGGGCCCATATTCACCCTCTCCATGCTGTGTCTCCTGGAGTATGTGCTCTCTAGCCCAACTGCACAGATCAGCCCCTAGCGTTGAAGGCTGTGATACTGTCCGTTTCAACACGCTCCCCAGGAGAAACTGAGGAGTTAGTTTGACCTAAGGTTGACCTAAGGTGGTAGAATTTTGACTATTGCTGTTTATATTTTTCCACATTGTTTGATCCATTTTGCCATGATCATACACAACATTTATGACAAAAATTCATTTACACATGAAGCTCGCCAGCTAATTCTGATGGTGTGGGAACCATAGGTCCATATCGGTCATTTGAACAATGATGCAGTCACATGCTTTTTTTTGTTTATTCTTTCTCCAACAAGGTAGAAAAGTATTCAAGAGCAAGAATTCTCAGTGCTGGCAATTCCAGACTCAAAGCAGGGGCTTTATAAATACTTGAGTGGTTTTGAATAGACTCTCAAAAAAATAAGAAAATATTTAATAAAGACACACATGATATAGTATATTTGAAGGGAAAAGAAAACCTTACAATTAATGGATTAAAGAAGTAGGTATTAGTAAGACAGGAAAAATACTCAGGTGACTTAATAGATCAGGATGATCCATTAGTAACAATGTTTTACTTTATATCTAGAAGCAAAGAATATTTGAAGGCATAAACTTGTAGCAGGTAGAAATCACGAAGTGGCTCCCTCTTTTTAATCCAAAGCATTCTTAGAATGGTGTGTTCAGTTAAAAATTCTACAGCTAAAGAAGACATTTAAGTAGCTAGAGAAAGTTAAGAAAAGAATCCAAACTCTCATACATTGCTGGTCGGAATGTAAAATGATGCAGCTGCATTGGGAAATAGTCTCATGGTTCCTCAAAAAGTTAAACATAAGAGTTACCATATGAACCAGCAAATCCACTCCTGGGTATATACCCAAGAGAATTGAAAACACATGTCCATACAAAAACTTGTGCACAAATGTTCACAGCAGCATTGCCCAAGATAGCCAGTGGATAAATAACATGTGAGATATCCAAACAGTGGAATATTGTTTGGTCATACAATGGAATAAAGTACTGATCATGCTACAACATGGATGGAGCTTGTATGCACACTAAGTGAAAGAAGCCAGAAATAAAAGGCACATGTTGTATGATTTCATTTATATAAAATGTCCAGAATTGGCAAATTCATAGAGATAGAACGTAGATTAGTGATTGCCAAGGACTGAGGGAAGAGGGATGGGAAGTGACTTAGTGGGTATAGGGTTCTGGAATTTGATAGTGACGAGATGGTAGTACAATTCTGTGAATATACTAAAAATCACTGAATTGTGCTCTTTAAAATGGTAAATTTCATGGTATGTAAATCATGTTTCAATAAAGCTTTAATTAAGGTAAACAAGAAAGAAAAGAATCAAGGGTGCATATGGGGAGGAGTGGGAATCCAGGCAGCAGGACACCAAAGAATGAAAAAAAATAGAAGGTTAGAAAGCAATTTTACTAAGGGCTGCCTTTTTGGGTGTAGTCAACTTTTATTTTATTTTTTTTAATTAGAAAAGATGCTGACTAGCTGAGGAGAAAATTAGAAGACATAGATTGTAAATACAGCCTAAGGGGTTTGGTTTAGATACAAACTTTTCCTACCAGTAAAAGTTGGAATAGAGTTGTTAACATGTCCCTTTTTGGTGGACTTGAAGAGGGCTTAGAATAGATTTATCTGTACAGGACAATTTGTAGGAGCCTTCCTGAAATGGCAGAGGGATGACCTTTCATGCTCTTTGCTCTTTTTTTCTCCCTGCCTTGGAAAAATGTGAAGCCTCAGTATCCAATACCGCACAAAACGCTCAGTGCATTAGTCCTGGTGAAATAAAAGAGGAGACACTTCTGTTTCTTGAAAAGTTTTATTTGGTGACAATATATAGTCATAAACACATATTCCTCTCTTTTGACTGTTAAAGTCTTCTCTTCTAAAACAATTCACTTTTTATTAAAAAAAATCTTGAAGCTGCACTTGCAACCTATTATTATATTTCAATCATTTGTGTAAAGAAAGTAAATTCAGGTTATGCATAGCTACTTCTACACATATTATTAATAATATGAATACATAGAATATACTTGGCCTGCTGAGTAGTTTTCAAAACTCTGTAGCCTTTGTATTTAGATTTATTTGAAAAGTAAAACATCATCTCACTCATATTTACCAAGGACAGAACCACGGCTTCGAAGCTCTCCCACTGCTCCCTGCTTCAGGAGAAACAAGGACCCGCTTTGGGTCCATTTAGCACAATCTTCCTCCCTCGGCTCAGGACCCCGACGCCCAGGAAATAATGCCAACTGAGGGCGTGACTGGAGCGAGGAAATCTCTTCTGGGCCGTGTCACCAGAGTCATATCAGATCCTTTCTAGCCTTCTATTCTCTGGTCAATAGGGTAGTGCTTTGTTTTGTGCCAAAGTCTCCGTAAGTATTGATGCTCTTGATTTCACAATCACACATGTTCGACAATATTCATTCATTGAGCAAACATAGAAATTTAAACCTTCTTATTTTTGGTCAGTAATATAAACCTCCATTTCTAACATCCTCGAATGTCTGTAACCCAACTGTGTGTTTACAGAATAGTGAATTGTGGTCCCAGGCCCAGATATTGGTAAAATTTCATCAGGGCAAGGAGCCTTTGCCTCAGGAGGAGACGCGCCCATCCCTGCTAGGCGAGGGCGTGGTCGAACTGCCCTTTCTCCAGGCCTTCCAGCCCGTCAGCCCAGGTCGAGGTGGGCATGCTCCGATACGGGTCCAGCAGAATCCGGAAGCACCTGACGATAAGGATGCCCAAGAAAATAAACAACAAAATAACAAAAGCAAATGTCGTTTTCTGCTCCAGAGACATGCTAGAATCTGATGACACGTTCCCAAGGGGCACCAGGGGTGAAGGGACCGGCTGTCCTCCATCCATGGTCCAGGAAAGCCAGGGTCCAGGATCTGCTTTCCCTTTTGTCCATCATCAGCGTGCTGTGTGCATGGCGGCTGCACCCCACAGGGGCTGAGTTATCTGCAGGGAGAAGCAGAGAGAAGGAAAGGGAATGACGATCAAATAGCAGCCTTATTTTCTAGGCTCACAGTCATGTTTTTCAAAGAGAAGAACTCTGTAAGCCAGCTTTCTTTTTCACCAGAGATGATTAATTCTGTATAATTATGGAGAAAAATTTTACTCTTGCATGAAATTACCAGATTGTGCTCAGAAGAACCACCCGGGGCCAGGACGGATGGGCAGGGAATGCAGCTGTAACGTAGCAGATGAGAAATGTACAAGGGAACGTTGACCCCAAGGTATGCTGTCAACTTGACATCCAAACCCAGCCTCCCCTGCCAAGTCTCTTCCAGCTCCCCTCCGATAGCATTGCTCTCCCGTTATTATACGGGCAGCATCGAATGGGCACCACCTATGTGCCAGGGCGGCGGCTGAACTTGACCACGTTAGCCACGCTGCTACAAGCTCTGTGGAGGCAGGGAGCTCTAGAGCCCAGTGCAAGGAAACTGAGACTAGAAAAGGCGCTTAATATAGAAAAGTCTCTCAGGAAGCATCAGGTCCTAGGCCCTGAGTTTTGGCCTCCAGCTTACTGCTAGATGAGTGTGGGAACTTGGAGAAATCACTAAGCTGCGAAAGCGCGAGTAGAAATGCCTGCATAGCTCATGGTGCTATGAGGTGGATGTCTGTGAGAGCCCTTTGAAAACTGGCAAAGAAGAAAAACAAGCAGAGCAAAGTGTTGCTTCACTTAAGATGTGAGTGGCTCGGTAGCTCGGTGGCCAAGGGGCTGCGACGCTCCTCTGACGCTTTCCGCCGCCTGAGCCAAGGGACAAGGGAGGGTCTCAGACTCCCAAACCGTTAAGTCACTGCTGCTTTTTCTTTTTTCTTCAGAAACAAAGACTAGCTTCAATCCTTGACCCTTAGAAGCACCTAGATAACTGAGCTAGCGAAAAGGAATTGGTCAACTGCACAGTTTTAAGAGGACAGTTTTCCTTACATTGGTTTCTTACCATGTAGGACTACATGGGTGGTAGAGAGGAAGAGAACAAAAGGACATGCTATCACTATTTGCATGTTACTGGTAGAAGAAATGAGGCACATGGATATTACTGTTTTTAAAAGCAAATCAGAGTATACACAAAAATCATTAAAAGCTTCAGGTACTGAACTAAATTTTTAAATCAAATTTTGTAAACAAAAGTATATATATTTAGATATTACTAAATAGCAAATATATGATATATTTTTATGAATTTGTAAGAAAAATTACATAGCAGAATAGTTAGCAATGGAAATTAACATAGATCCAAAAGAAATTACGCTCAAAGAAAATAAGTAACCAAATAAAAATAGAATTTATGACCTAAAACACTAACACTATATTTCTTCAGTTAATTTATAGTCATTGCCTTCAAGTACAGCATTAGTAATCATAGTAACAGTTTGCATGTATATATTGACACTTTGAAGTCAGAAAATCACAGTTTAAGAAAACAGTTTATGAAGGGATTACAGCCGGCACCTGGAAGAAGGGAGTTAGCAACAATTCGGGGACAATGGATCCTTTTTGCAGCTCCATCACTTTGAACTTTTTTAAAGGCTGGAACTGTTGCAAGATTCATTTATAATTCATGTTTGCTTTGAGGTAAGATTAGGATAAAATTTGATGATATACCTTAAAAATAAGCTCTTTCGGAATATAGGGGATGTCAATGAATTGGGTTTGGGTGTGGCTGGCTTGTTCCCAAGCATCCTCCCGCTCCGGGCTGGGGCAGGGCCTCCCGCACAGCTCTCCTCTGCCTTCGGTGTCTACTGAAAATACACACAGGACTCAATCTCGCCAAATATAAAATGCTGCAAGGGCTGGGCCAAAGGAAAGCCATCTGATGATAGAGAAGCTGATGCCTCCCTGACATGTTCCCTCTTGCCTTTTCGTGTCCTACTGAGGATGCCCTCACTTTGACCCCTGTTCTCCTCTCTGGATCACTAGAACGCCATTCTATGTCCGGTTTACCTCCAGCCCAGAGGAAGCCAGAGTCCTTTTCTTTGTCCATTCTCAACAGAGCTGAGACAGGCATGCTTTTCCAGAAAGTATTTTTATGAAAACACTACATAATCCTGAAAGGAAATATAGGAAAAAGCAAAGACCATTGACCGTATAAATTTACAACATTCAGAATGGAGAATGTAAGTAAAAATAAAGGATAAGGATTTCTGAATCTGGGAAATCCAAGAAAACCGGGAAGAACTGGGTGGAGAAACGGAGTAGAGACCTGGGAGACGAGCCCTGGCCGGGCACGGTCTGGCTGGCCAGTATGGCAGTGCCGTGCCCGGCCCCCGTCCCACCCTGGCATCTGCTTGATGAAAGCCCTCTGTAGGAGCATCTGCCCCAGCCTTCTCCTCCACGCACGGCAAAATGCCAGACCCTTCTTTCCAGATCAGCATCTCACACTTCCCAGGATTCACCCATGGCTCAGGATTTAGAGCCGGTGCACTGTTCATTGGGGGCTCAGTGATGGGCAGCCATTCTTGAACCCCCAGCAAAAATAACTTAGTGGTCCTGATTCAGATTATCTCTAATCTTCCTAGGAATGACTCTGGGACCCAGCTTCCCCATAGGGGATGCCAACTATTGAAATGATCTTTAAAAATCAATTTTAACCTGCAGTTTCACCACCTTGTACTGATTAAAACACAAGATGCAAAGACATGGGTAACCCCCTTTGAAGCCTGGTCATGCTCTGACAAACCTGCTAAAATATAATGTATATATTCTCCAACCTCTTCATCACCAACCCCTTCCATATATGCCAAATTGATGAGTAAATGGAGTTGAAAGAATAGCACGTTGTGAGCTGTAAACGCGTCCTCTCCCAGCATACCATGGTATCCAAGTTCCCGCCAAAATAACTCCCTTTGGTTAAATTACCAAAGCTTCCTTTTACCAAGGAAAGCGACACATTGATGTATTAGCAGGAATTTGCCTGTGAGGATGATACCCACCTCAAGGAGGGGGAAATGTAGGTAGAAAGGGGATTAAAAGATTTTGATGCGAATGAGGGACTTCTAGAAAGGCCGGGCACAGACATGGGTGCAGTGAGCAGGGGTTCCAACTAGAGAGCCCCCAGGGAGGAATGAGGGGTGGTGGATACAGATGAGATGATCAAAAGATAGTTATAAAGAAATAAAGAAATCCAGAAACAAATGCCAACTCTTTTACGATTTTACCTACAACCGATGAAGTCCCTGGAAGAGCATGCTGGATTTTAAACCTGCAATCAACTAATTAATAATTTACAAATTTAGAAAGTTCAACAGCATGTTTAAGTTGGAGGAAGCATCAGATATAATAAGATGGAGAAAAAGAAATAATCGCTTCACTTCTATAATACAAAAACATTCAAAAACATGTAAAATTTTAAAATATCTGTCTTAGGGTAAAATGTCCCTTTTTAGTAAAAATGGTTTTTAGAAAATGTTCATGATTGCTTTTAACTAAATAATGAAATCCTTTTAGATAAATAGTGAAATCTTGGCAAGTAAATTATTTCAAAAGTTTTGACATGACCGTCCTAAGTCTTCATAATAGCAAATGGCGGTTATCTGAAGCACGAAGAAGGACCACGGTCACTACAGCAGCGTATCAATCCTGACTGGCTCTTCCCATCACGCAGCACATCTGTGCCTTCCCTTTGCCGGGGCCGTTTGTGTGTGCTCAGGAAATAGAGTCTAATTTTAATACTAGACCAAGAAAACTTTAATTAAGAGTACCATTTTCAAAAACCACACAATACATGCCTGGACTGTGTGATATTGACAAACCATATTCCTCTGAATTCCCCACGACGCAGCCCCTGTGAGCAGTCCAGCCTGACCATGGCCACTCATGCTATCAGCCACCAGCTTGGCTGTAGCAATTTTCAAGCGGCCTTCCCTTCCTGCGCCCACACTCCCTGCACACTGTGTCTCAAGTCCTCTGCCTGGCCCAGACCCCCTCTCCTGCCCTCAGGAGACCTTTGCCCTCGGCAGCCACGCCCATTAACCCCCTGTGGACCTGACGCCCTGATGTTTTCTGGAACACAAATCAGGACCTACCATAACAGTGGGACTTTTGAAGATACTAATTTATGTTCATAACTTTGAAAAGGAGCAGACATCAAATCACATTGAGTTCCCAGTAAAACGAGCAGCGTATTGATAAGAACAAACTTGCATGCAACTGAGTGTGCACATGCAACTGAGTGTGCAGACACCTGCAGAGAATGTCCTCATCGCGTCTGTCCTGCAGCTCAGCCTAGCACCTGCCGGTCTTCGTACAAGCCCAGGTGTCCACCTCAGTGTGCTCTCCTCCTCCCACCTGTGGAATGTCTACCTGTCCTTCAGGTGTGCACTAAAGACCCCTTCCTCAGTGGGGCCTTACACGCCTCCCTTCCCCAAGGATGGGGGGTCCTACGCTGTCTCTGGGGACGTCACCAGTGCTCTGTGGCAGCGCTGATGACGGGACAAGTCTTGACGGTGTTTGTCTTCTTCCCTTTATTAGACAACAAGCTCCATGAGGAAGTCCTCGCTGTTCTTGGATCATTGACTCTTTAAATATAGTCAAATCAAATCTCTAGCCCCTTACAGTACAAGGAACCAAATTCAAATTTCAGGGTGCCAGCTAACTGATCCAGAGGAGAAAAAGGAAAGTACGTCATCCAGCCAAACCAAGATGCTGGACCATTGTGTTTGAAATACATCTTGCTTTAAAAAGAATCACAGGTAGTTCAAGTCACAATGGCACTTTAATACTCACAGACCTCATGATTTTAAAAGCAGTAAGTTATTTGGCTCTTTAATTCTCCTTGGCCTCAATGCTGATGGGTGGGGTCCATAATATAGAAATCAGCCAGAGACAGTCAGTCATCCTTCTATTTAAGAGGTCAACCCTTTTTTACCTGATCTGCTTTTTGGTGGGGAAGTGAGGCCATTTGAAACATCCTAAATCCAAATGTCTTACGTGGAAACTATTAATGTCAACATTTTCCCTTCTCAGTCTCAGCTCCCTCGGACATTTTATTTCATTAGCATCTCACTATACAATTTCACAGTAAGGAAAAACATTTTATCTGAAGAAAATATGTCTTAAAGCAATGACATATTTCTTTTCCAAAGTTTTAAAGTGACAGCAACAGAATTAGTCAAGTGCATTTGGCACTTTGTTCTGTGAAATCATAACAGGCACTTAATTCTATGGCTTTGCTTTTGTGGTCATCGACGCAGGAGCCCACCCTCTTGCAATGGGCTGCAATGATAAGAGCTGTAGTCGTTGTATTACACGTGCAGTCCTACCTGGAGCACAGTGTATGCTCAATACATAGATGGTGATGAATGCATGTTTTCTCTTTATACCATTTTTGTGCAAAATGAGATTTATTTCTACTTACAAAGGAATAGAAATTATAAATAAGTTGCCCAGAATGATAAAAATCAGTTACAAAAAAGGAGCATTCCCTAAAGACTGCTGGATCCCCCAAAATTTTCTCTGGCATGTTGGAATGAATTGAAAGCCATCACCCCCAGCTGTTAATGGCACACAGGGTATAGGTAAGCAGTGCTGTCTGCATTTTAAGTACTCCTAAACCACATAATTACCGTACCTAATTTTTAAAACTTCTAGGCCAGAAACCTAGTCATGTGACTTGACATGTTTTCAAAAGTAGGTGTAAGAACAGCCCATCCATTGAGAAAGAACACTCATGGGCTTGTCCAGTTAACGGTCACATGTGATGGACAGGACACTTCGTCCTACAAAGACATCCTGTAACATTACTTATATTTATCTGGCAGACTGGTGAGACCAGTCTGTAGACTTTAACAGGAAGAGAACTAGCTTGCTAGGCAGGATTGAATTTGCAGTGACTGGCAGAGATAAACTTACTCAAAGTGCTGTGTTATTCTGCAGCAGTTCTGAAGCTGCCTGTTGAAATGCCAACATGGCTTTGAATGATTGAAGTGATACATACCCTGATATTGAGACTAAATAGAATCAGTCTCTACTTTTAGAGCTAAAGGAAGCTTCAGCTGCCTTCCTGTTTGTATAACTGGAGCCTCTGAAGGTTCACCCCCTTCTCCAACCCTCTCAGCCACCCCAGACTGCGTAAGCCTCGCAGGCGATCCATGATGCACCTCCCCCAACCATTGTGAGTCCTCCCAAGAAGCCACCTCATTCTCTAAGAAATCGAATCATGACATAAGCAAAAGTTATTCCCCTACAAATATTTTGGAAATTCTGCAGATTAGTCTGGTGAACAGTAACTCAAGTTCCAAGACATACACACACAGATACAAAATGTTTCACATAAATTCAAAGAATTCATGGCCTTTTTGGTGACCAGCTAAGAACTTCAGGTAAAAGTTTCTTGGATCTTTGTAGGTGCTTCATACATTTTCAATCCTCCCAGTCCTCTTGTTTTTGGCTCACATAAATACATGGCAACGTCTATAATCCTTTGCTCCAAGTACAGCCCTCCCATTCCAATATAATAGTCCTGATGCTTTAAAATTCATAAGAGGGCTAAGGGTAAATATTATTTTATACTCTTGAAAAATAGACCCAAGGCTACTAAAAAGCCCACAAATAATGACTATAAAAACATGGGAATTCGGTCAGGTACAAATGTCAACAGGCAGTTTCAGGTTTCAGGACTGCTGCAGCCCACTGCGCTGGAAGGCCTGTTTCCGCCCCCCCCCCCACCCCCCGCGCCCCTGCAGAGGCAGAGCTGCTGGGGCTGGGCGTGGACCTGTCCTCCTGACTCACTGCTGCTGTGGGCTCTGGGTCAGTAGCAGACCTTTCTCTTCAGCCTGAGCCTCAGCCTCAGTTTTACTATCTTCATCTTCCTCCTAACACCTGCTTGAAGAGTTTCAAAGGGACTGCAGGAGAAGGCTGCAGCCTGGCTGGCAACATCAGAAAAACAGCACGAGGGTGCCCAGGCAGTGACCGGGGGCATTAAAAGGCACCATTAGCAAACCAGAACTTTCAACCCCAAACAATAAACCCTACTGTTCCACCACGTTTCCTTTCTTCCCTTGTGTGTTTCACAGTGAAAAAAATTACTTGCTGATACCTCAAAAGGCTAGTGCTGCACCCCGTTCATCACCCAGGGACAGCCAACGCTATCATTATGAGTTGTTGAATTGTGATCATTTGTAAACAAACCAAAACATCCTTGTCATATTTTGAAAGGTTGGATATTTTTAATGTGCAAAAATATATATATATATACTGTGATGGGCAAACAGCTTTCAAGAATAAATTACTGCAGCTTAGGAAAGAAAAATGCCTGTTTTACTACTTCTTTCAGCCAGTATCTATAATGTTATAAACTTAAGCATGCTTTAAAAATAAAAGCATCATTACATTTCTCCCCCTCATACTAACTTTACCCAGCAACTGTTTAATTAGACTTTATCTAAAAGCTAGATCTAAATTCAGAACTTGGATCCAAAAGGTATTTATGCAATTATTGCTCATGCATAAATTGTAAAGTTAGAGAAAAGCATTCAATTAGCCCATCATAGATACAGTTTTGGTCAAGTACCTGGATCTGGCTGAACAAACACTTGATCCATTTCCTGAGAAACAGTTACAGGTAGTTACAAGGCTCTTTAGTTCCCATTCTTCCGGACCAGCTGTGTCAAAGCAGCTGACAATGGTCGCTGCAGGCAGCCGATGGCACACCCAGGTCCAGAGTTGCTGCTTCAGGCTTAGAAACTTCCCATTAAAACCCTGAGTTAGAGGAGCGTGTCTTTCTGTGTGAGGCATCGTTAGCGGCTGCTCCAGCTGCGGCTTTGAGGCGAGCCATGATGTCAGTTCTGCCTCAGCAACTCTTCAGAGCTTTCTGCTTCTGTGAGTGGAGGCAGCATCCTAGCAGCGTGTCTGAAACCGTCTTCAAGAAAGCATTAACGTTCAGCAGGAGTACGGGGAACATTGCTGGGCATTCCCATACCTTTTCAAATCAAAGCCATAAATCTACCAGTGTTCTGACTTCTCTATTGATTGTTGACACTGTTCCTCTTTGGGGATGTCAATTAGCACCTCGCAGCTACCGGTCTCCATGTTGCTTGTGTTTGTGACCTTCAGGCCACCCAGTTAATGGCAAGGCTCCCAGGGAAGGAACTTAGCATTTGGGGGCAAAGAAAAGACTTCTTTTCCTAAATAAAACTGAAATGACCTTTCTGAAAAGCAGGATTTATGGGAGGCAATGAGGTAAAAAAAACAAACAAACAACAAAAAAAAAACAATTTAAAAAGAACAAAATCATATTTTCACCACCTGTGTGAAAATTTGCTTGGCTGTAGCTTGCCAGGTCCAGGGTCTCTGGCCAGCCCGGATCACTCTGGCCTTGGCAACCCCCCCCCCCCGCCCCCCGCAGGCCATCTGAGACCACTTGATGACTAAAGAAGACAGACCTTTGTTGAGAGAAAGTTGTTCTCATTCTACAAATTCTAGTTATCTGGCACAATACTTAAATGACTTTGCTTGAATATAATGCCTAAATAAATTTGGAAAATATTTTAGGATAAAATTCTACATAAAGAGAACAGGCTTCTCTAAAAAGAATTCAGCATAATTCCTAAGACAGAGCATCCTTATTTTTTGGCAACTCACCACTTTCTTTGTTGAAGTGGAAGCATAGTAGTGACAACACACTCCCCCCTAAAATGTCAGGGTGCAAGATATCTAAAGCCACCTCTGAGCCTGTCAGCTTTGCTGGCTCTTCAGCCCCTAGGAGAGACCGGCCATTACTCAGCAGCTCTATGAGACTGGAACAGAGCTCATTTTCTAAGCAGGAAAACCCCATCTGCTCACAGCAGACAATTCCAACCCTTTCAAATCAAATGCTAAGTGTTAGGATCTAACGTTATCACCAAATGCTTGACGTTAGAATCTATCCCCAAGAGAACATGAAGGTTCTTTCCCTATTTGTTTTCCTGAATTTTCTTTCCAATTAGTCTACTTACCCTGTTTTCAGACACATACACCCCTCACATACCATAAAACAACAGGATAAATGAAATCAGCAGAGCACTATTGTTCAGCACGAATTGCTGTCCCTTGTGCTTTCGGCCATCGCCGTGTTGGTAGGAGCCCCTGTCTTGGCAATGCCAACAGAGTGTGGTTCAGGACTCGTTCTGACCCCACCCTTCCTTATATGCTATCATTCCATGCGGTGAGAAAGAGCTGCAGCTAGAAGTGAGCCTGGGTTTTGCAGATCGCCCTGCCAAAGACTTTCCTCCAGCATTGTTTAGGTGACAGCCTCACAGAGTTGCAAGAGAACCGTAGAGGGCCTGGGGCTGTGCTCTAGCTGTGCTGCAGGCTGAGCCATCCCAGAGAGATGAGTGCTTGGCCTATTTTTAAAAGTCTCCAGGGAAGTAGATTCCATAACTTCCTCTGACACCCTCTGTTTAAACTAACTCCTCCGCTGCTTACTTAGTCTAATGGGTTGGCGCTTTTCTTTTCATTCTGTCCTTGCTACAAAAAGCCAGCCGTTAACCACTATAAAATTTTGTTAGAATGTTCTTTTCCCTGCAAGGAAGCTGAACTAGATAAACCAAAGAACTGATTTGGTGAGGATCTGATGTTATAGTTGGAGCCAAATTTAATATTTCTTTTAAAAGATAATTACAGTTGGAAACATTAAGAAACAGCCCTCCCCCATGCAGCTGCATTGTGTGAGTCATCATGAATTCTAAAACAATGGAGGATTTGCTCAAATTCCATTTGAACATTTCATAGTAGGTCCTATTTCTTTAGTTTTAATAATCTTTATAGCTCTTCTCTGAATTCTTCCCAAAATCTCTGCTCTCTGGGATAGCTTTACACAGGGAGCCTAGAAAGTTGCCAGACCTGTGTCTGGCTCAGACACCTGGAACTGTGGTGAAATAGGGTGACTTCATGATATGGAAATGCCTATATACACTATGCTCCTGCTTATCCATTGCAATCCTAGGGTTTGTCCCTGGTGCTAATTTAGTCTTTCTCTTTAACCACACATCATGGGTTAATGTTAGTTAGAAATCTATTATAAGAACTTTTCCTACATTCTGATTTCAAGTCTCACCTTTAATGTTCTTTAGCTTATCATTTTTTCCTAAATGTCCTACATTGCACTTTTCCATAAAGAAGTAGACAATTAATATAGAAAATAAAAGCCTTCATAAGCCATCAGGCTTTATGCCAGTAAGTGGCTGTTATTATTATTCTTGTGTTTCTTTCTGACTCTGCCTAATTCTCAAAATAAATTGAATCAATTCTCAAGGTATTAGTTGGATGTAGTAGCTCACACCTATAATCCTAGCACTTTGGGAGGCTGAGGTGGGAGGATCACATAGCAAGATCCTGTCTCTACAAAAAAATTTAAAAAATAATTCTCAGTATAACCTTCAAAAATATAAATATGGTCTTTATCACTGGACTCTTTGTAAAAATATTTTCTTCCTTTGTGTATGTTCTTTTTCTCACCTTGTCAAGTAACATTCATTAAGCTCACACTTAATGTCGGATCCATTCTGTGTTAGGTGTTGCCAAGAATAAACAATATGGGTACTAGGCCATAGACAGGGCCCGGAGGAGCTCAGCTTCTAGCGTTGGTTGCTGAGCTTCCGAGGCCAGCCCACTTCCACTATCCTCCACTTCCTAACCTTCCTAACCTTCACTGCTCACCCAGCAGGTGTCTGAATTCTGTCCTCACCTTTTTATAGGATCCGATTTCACAAGGTCACCAGTGCCTCCTGGTTGCCCCAGGCAAAAGCATCCTTCAGTGCCAGTCTTCCCTGCTCTCCCGCAAGGCCGACGTGGCCCAACACTCCCTCCAAGGAGGCTCTCTGGGCCACATGGACAAATGCAGTGGTGGGAACAGATGCGTGAGCCCTAGGGCCACTCTCCCTTGGTCCCTTCTCTCTTCATGGCCTCTCTTTTGCCTTTCAAGGCTCAAGCCACGCGTAACTTATGCAACTACCAGCAGATGTGAAATGAGGGTGGAAAAACAGGCAGGCCAGGATAAATGTTAATAATCTTACCACCTTTAATCCATTAATAAAAATGCTAGGCAGTTTATGTGTGTTGTTTTTCTTTTTCTGTTTCCTTGGTTTAAAAATAATCAATAAATCATATATAGTGTTTTTTAAAACATCAAGATTAGTTCTAGTTCTAATATCCTTCTGATTTGCCAGGTCTAAGTATAAGTTTAGTTATCCACTCAGCTATCTTCACAAGTCAGTGAACATTCAAAGCACAAGGAAACAGTGGGGAAGGTTTAATAATATTCACACCAAGCCTATAAATTAGGATCTATATTTAAGCCTTATTACAAGCAAGCAGGTTAAAGTCCAACTGCAGATTGGCAGCCTCCTGGTCTGATCTTTTCTTGAATGCATCTCTGCATACATCACATCTGTGTTATGCTGAATGCTCAATTAGTAGCTGATAAATCCAGAACAGAGAAGCACTGGGAATGAAGACAAGGAACAAACACACTGCTGCAACTCGGCGGGAATGTATGTGAAAGAAACAAAACACGGATAGAATTTTACTTGTGATGATTGCAGATTGCCCTACAAAATTGTGTGCATGCTTTCCTATATAAGTCAAAAGTAATAAAGCATATAGAAAAGAAAAGAATCATGCTGCTTAAAAAGCTGATCTCCAACCCTAAGCAGGAACAACTTCACAAAATACACAGCAGTGCTTCTACTTAGAGACAATATTTGTAACATTTTAGCTATTAATTTTAATTACGGTATGAAAGTATCAGCCCATCACTATGGATTATTCACTGTTCTAAGGAAATACTTTGGATTTAACAGCCTGGTGAGTAAATGTATTCTTTTAAAGTGGCTTGTGCAATAATAACAATTTTCTTAATGGCTTTGAAATATTTAATGCCTTTAAAATGTCAAATAAAGTGCCAATTAGAGTTTTATACAAATCATCCCTCTAAATTTTTATGCTGTCATTTTGGAACTATTCCGTCTTTCTGTCCAACAGCTTGCGCTGCAAGGACAGTCTGAGGATTGAGCAGCCTAGAACACTAAGGTAACTGAGAAAATGAAATACAATGTACATGGGAATTACTGACCTGGTAGCCTGACTTTAATACCCAGCAAAATTCTGGAACTGAAGATCTTTCTACTGAGAAATCAATTTGAAATCAGTCAGAGAAGAAAACAGTTATATGAAGCAGTTAAAAAATTCTTGTTTAAAAAATCATGGAAAACCAATTCCAATTTCTGATATTTATACTTGTAGAAATGTGAGAAGGAGATTAAGGAAAAGCAGTAAACAGAGATTGTGATATATGGACATTGAATGCAAATTTCAGCTGCCTCAGTGCTACATCTTAGAGATGATGTACTCAATTGCTGCTTATAAAAATACTTAACTTTACAAATATCTCAATATTTCAGTGGGAACAATCACAAGTTTCAGTTATGTAACATGTTATTAAAATAGGCAGATATTAAAATAGGCAGATATTAAGGTTACATCTTCCTCTCCAATTCTATGTTCCAAACTTTGATAGGAGGTCTACCTTTGCCTGTAAATAATATATATTATATATTTATGTATAGTAAGTGTGTAAATGTTATAAATCATCTGTATTTCTGTAATATATGATGTTAAATTATTTCATGAGCATGTTAAGTATGAATTTTGGGGAGCAGGTATTAGGTCCTAATTGAATAGGACCTAATTGAATAGATAATTGAATTCAGTGAAGCCCAGAATCTGTATTTTGAATAAGAAACCTACATGATTAATGATGTAGGGCAAAGGAAATCTACACCTTGAAAAATGATATAGTTAAATGATTTTTTCCCTTCCTTGATTATTTAGCCATACTGGGCATTTTAACAATATGGGGATAGAACCTTAAGCTGAAAATTTTGGATATCACAGACCTCTTTGAAAAACTGATTAAATCTATGGACCCATCATTAGAATGGTGGCCTTACTAAACATATCTAACAGATAAAAATAAACTATCTAACAAAGAGTAAGATAAATAAACTCACAGGAAATAATTGCCCATTTAAAGAGAAAACTCACAACACATTACCCCTTTTGTTTTGTTTAATTAAAAGGCCTGTGGCCTAACTTGTTATCTCTAAGAGTTCCTTTTTCTCCGCCTTGAAGAGCCCTAAGCAGTCGTGGGGTGCGGGCTCTCCACTCCAGATCTCTGCCTCACTTCCTGCCACAAACACATTTTGAGGACTCAGGTAACCTGGCCTCACAGAGAAAAGAGAAGAAATAAAGAGCATCTGCCAAAGCTTCACAGCCGTTTCTGTCATCAG